GGACCCGGATCCTCGATGATCCTGAGGCTGGAAGGCAGAGGATTGGCCGGGGAAAGAGACCCCCAAGGTGTAGAGGCAGCTTCTAGGCAGGGCAGCTCCCCTTAACCCCTCTGGTAGGGCCTGGCGGCCCTGGCCCTATTCCTTGGAGAAGATCCACCCACCCACCCACCCAGCTCTCAGCCTGCTACATTTGGGGGTGAGGGGAGTCGCTGTGGGCCAGGGAGGGATCCAAACCGACCTTCAGAGGGCCAGAAAACCTTTCCCCCTGAAATCGGCTGAGGATTGAGGGCATATGAGTGAAAGGCCCCTTCCCCCACGGAGGTCCCAGGCAGCAGTGTAGGGGCACAGCGGGAAGGTGTGGATCTAGAGAGGGAGGTCCATCCACAGCCCCATTCCCGGCTTTGGTCAGCTGTCCACTCATGACCCCAGAGAAGTGACCAGGAGGAACTTTTGGCTTCCAGGGGAAGAGAAAGTTTGACTAGGAGGTCCTGGGTTTCCCCACCCCACCCCCCATCCCCCCACCCACACACAGAACAACACAAGACAGGGCTCAAGATTGCTTCAGCCATGTTCCTCAAGGGCTTCAGGCTTGGGGCAGATGAGGAAGAAGAGAAGCCAAACCCTGGATGGGGGCGCAGCAGAGGGCAGAGAAGGACACTCCGTCCTGAAGAGATGGCATCCGGATCCAGCTTTGAAGTCCCCTGTTGTAGAGGGCAGAGAAGAGAGAACTCAGGCCTTGCCCTTGGGGCTCCCAGTCTGGAGGGGCAGAGGAGGGCACCTGGGGCATCCCCTGCCTCCAGCCAGGCTGCTCTGTCTCAGGGACCTGTGTGGGGAGCTAGGAACCACCTCCCCAACCCCACCCCACCCCCACCTCCCACCCTGGACTGGCAGAGCTGGTTGGACTCTCAGAAACTTCTTTCCAGTTCTTGGGATAGGGTGGGTGCCTGGTGAAGCGTGGAATTGTAGAATCCTGTTTCTGGGGGCCAGCGTGACAGGCAGGCCCAGCTGTCTCGGGAGGCTTCCCAAGTCTGCCCTTGACCCGGAGCTGAGCGAGGTGGGCTCTCAGCACACCCTCCAGCCTTTCATCTCCCACTAGCCCAAGGGAGCCCTGCTGAGGGGTGCGTGCGCGAACACACACACAGACACACACACACACACACGGGCCTTCTGCCTGTGTGTCATGCAAGTGTAGCCACTTAGGCAGGCTGATGGGGGTGCTTGGCGGGCCAGCCGGCCAGGCACCCTGGGCGTGAGGCCGCTGACAGGCTCGGTGGCGGCGGCTGACGGCCGAGGGCGGCAGGGAGCAGAGACATCTGTTGGCCACGCGGCCTCCTGCGCGCCGAGA